CGTCCTCTATTCCGCGCAATTTGTATACCTTTCAAATGCCGTCCTTCGACTACCTTGTCAAGGCAAGACCACGTGTCATCCCTGACAAGATTTAGTTTCGAACACCTAGCGTTGCTCTATTCCGTACACAACATTGTCGCCTTTCATACGTTATACCCGGGCCTTTCCACACTCACTTAAAACACTTGCTACAACCAGACAACCTCCCGCTTTTCCATGACTGAAATGTTTGGGTTAGATCTTAAATGAGAAAAATGCAAAGTTGACAAGAATCTTTTTAATTTGACCAAATATGCAAGGATTTCAAAATACTAACAGATATTAACATAAAAATTGAACTAAAGTTTAACGAATTGGCGTACAAAAAGTAACTAATACTAACTCTAATATAAATATTATCCAACAATCTTCAACTAGCGTATATATATGAGCGCATTATTGAACTATTATCATTTTATTTAATTATCTACCGCTAACACGGTTCATCGGCACTCTCCCATTCATCGTCGTCGCCCGGCCATTCGCCCTTCCATAACCGCAACCGATCTTTCGGTGCTACCTGCAGTTTACCGCTCTTGCCTACAATCTCATACCTGTCCTTTTCCATTACGCGCGTGATTTTAAATGGTCCTACATATTTCTCGTCCAGCTTAGCCCGACGAGTATCGGATGGACGCACAAACACCGTATCACCAACTTTATACACAATATTGTCTCTACGCTGCTTATTAAAACGTCTATTCTGCGATTCAGCGTTTTTCGCCAGCCGTTCTGCTGCCAAGATCCTATCCGCGCTGACGTCGATCCGCTCTCCCGTATCTGGTATTTCCCTCTCGGCAGCTACCGCGCTGCCCGCGCTACGCTCCATACCAAACAGTAGTCGCGTAGGTGAAAACCCCGTTGAACTCTGGATGGTGGTATTCAAAGAAAGTTGGATTTTCGATAATTTGTTCGGCCATTCTGTAGTATTTGCTGCTTCGACCGTAAGCAAATTAGTTACAGTGGCAACGTAGCGTTCCGCCTGTCCGTTCGCTCGCGGGGCCCCGGTGGCAATTAAGTGTAATTCAACCCCGTGTTTCCGAAAGAATTGTTCTAGCGGTTTATATGTAAAGTTTGTTGCTCGATCAAGGACCACCCGACGCGGAGTTCCAAAGAGAGTCAAGCGATCTCGAAAAACCTGCCATGTCTCCGGACCGCTTAAAGATTTTAACGGGATGAGTTGCACGTACTTTGTAAAAGCATCAACGATCAGCAAAATGTGCTTATAACCGTCTCGCGACTCGGGAAATGGGCCCACACAGTCACCGTGAATGGTGTCAAAGGGAATCGCCGACTTGGGTATCGAGTGTAATAACCCCTGCTTCGGCCCACTATGCTTTTTGGCGACGATACACGTGATACAATGGTCTAGGTATTTCTTTACAAAACTCCGGGCTCGGGGAAACCAGTACCTTTGCGCAATGCGATCGTAAGTTTTATCCAACCCCACATGGCAATTTTCGTCGTGATACATCCGTAATAGACCAATCCGACTTCCCTTTGGCACGTAACTGCGGTAGATCGTGCGCCCATTGTCTTTTAAAATCTTTCGGCATAAGATATTCTGACGGAGAACATAATCGCTGCAGATTGATTCTTCATTACGGACCCGGCTTATAATATTTTGTGTTTCCTCGTCTTTGCTCTGAACTACCTCCAACCAGGAACCCTCGCAAATTACATGTACCCGGCGATCTTCGGGCGGATTCCTACTCAGGTAGTCTACGTGTTCGACATACTTCCCTTTTCGGTACTCTAACTCGAACGTAAAATCCTGCAGGTAAACCCACCATCGAGCGATGCGGGGCAACAGGTCTTTTTTCGTGCTAGTAGCTTTAACTGCGTTGCAATCAGTAACAATCTTAAACTTAATTCCTAACAAATAAACGCGGAAATATTTAAGAGCGTTCACGATAGCCAAAGTCTCGAGTTCATACGAATGGTATCGTGACTCCTCCGGAGTCGTACGCCGACTAAAATAGGCTATCACCCGCAAATCACCATTCACCCGCTGAAACAGTATGGCACCGTACCCGATTGAACTCGCGTCTGTATGAAGCTCCGTTTCACGTATCGGATCAAAAACAATCAACAACGGCTGTGAGCTGAGGTTACCCAAAATATATTGCCGAGCACTCTCTTGCTCCTGGCCCCACTGCCATGGTTGATCCTTTCTTAATAGCCTCGTTATGGCAGAGGCACGCGTAGCAAATTCCGGTACAAACTTGCGAAAATAGCTCGCCAGGCCCATAAACTGGCGGACCTGACGCACGTTCGTGGGGACAGGTGCCTCGAGCAGCGCTTTAAGCTTCCCTTTTCCGGGCCGAATACCGTCGGCTGAAACTTCCCGTCCCAAATACTCTACCGTCGTTTCAAAAAATTTACATTTCCCCAGATTTAAAGTGAAACCCGCTTCTGACAAAGCATTCAGTACTCGGTCTAACTTTCCCAGCCCTTCCTCAATAGTCTCCGAGGGAATAAGTATATCGTCCATATAAACAAGGGCAACTGAATTCCTCAACGTGCCTAACGCCTTGTTAATTGCCCTTTGAAACACAGCCGGTGCATTCGATAACCCGAATGGCATTCTAAGGTACTCGTAGTGACCATCCGGGGTCACGAACGCAGTTTTTTCTATCGATTCGGCAGCTATTGGGATTTGGTGAAATCCTGATTCCATATCTAAGGTAATAAAATATTTACCCTTACCTAAACGATCGAGCTGGTCGTCAATCAACGGTAAAGGGTAACGGTCCCTGATCGTTATTCTGTTTAATGCGCGATAGTCCACACACATACGGTCGCTTCCGTTTTTCTTTTTAACTAAAATGATCGGACTCGCGTATGGGGACGTACTCTCGCGTATAATATTTTTACTTAGTAAATCATCCACGATGGCACATACCTTCTCACGCTCCACGAGGGACAGGCGGTACGAGCGGTAACTTATTACCTGGTCGGTTTTTGTACAAATTGTCATTTCCCCAGTCGTCACACATCGGGTACAATCAGTCGGAGCTATCATGTGCTGATACTTCTCTATCAGCGTGTCCAAGGCACTCCGATCCCCGTCGCTGCCGCTGCTGACGGAGTAACACCGTGGTGCTGTCTTCCTCTCTCCCGACGAGGGTGCTCCCCTGACCCGTTGCAAGCTCGTTCCTTCCGCATCGGTCACCATCCGCAGGTTTCCAGCTTCCAGGACGTTTCTCCCCACAATAGCGTCGTAGGCCAGATCGCTGTCCGCCACCACTAGAAAATCTAACTCCACCGACACGTCCTCCGCCTGCATAACAACCGTGGTGCGCCCGAGTGTTGTAACACTCGAATTCCCGAGGCCCCTCACCACCGTAGTGTACGGGACAATCTTGCAATTTGCCCTTAGTGCTACGCCTTCTTGAATCAGGGAACAGTCCGCACCCGTGTCCAACAAAGACGGCACCAACACTCCTTGTATCAACACGGGGGTCGTGCTGCAATCCGTGACGCTGCAGGTATTTGCTTCCGCCCTCTTGCGTCCCTGCCCCTGCTGCGATTGAGTGCGCTGTTTTGCCCAACAATTGGATTCTTCGTGCCCCCTTTTTGAACAAAAGGCGCACACTTGTCGTTTATTAATGTTCTCCTTCTGCTCCCGGCTTTCCGCTTCTTCGGGCAGTTAAGCTGCAGGTGTCCCACCTCGTCACAGGTGTAACAGCGTTTCCTGGGCTGCCGTTGCTTGGTGGGAAACTCTTTGCGTTGTTCCTCGGAAGTTTCCTTTTCAGCTGTGGGCTTCACGTACTGCGTTAAACCCACTATCAATTCGGCCGTCGTTTTATATTGCCCATTCAGTAACGATTGCCGTATATTTTGATCGTCCACCGCCCCTATAATGAGTTCGATCAACTCTTCCGCCCGGAACCCAACCCGAGTTTGCTCTAGGTAGGATAGTTTCGTACGCGCATATTCGGCATACGTTTTCACCGAGTCACTCGAATATGTAACCGCCCGGGACAATCGCTCATGCAAATTCTTCCTTGTCACGAACACGGAACACAAGTCCTCACAAAACTTCTCCCACGTACGAGGTTGTCCCTTCCAATCCTGATACCACAACTTTGCGGCCCCCCTCAGAGCATGCGTGGCCAGGTTCAACCGCACTTGAGCCGAACAGGTCTTCGTAATATCTTCCACCACCTTACACCAACTGTTGGCATCTTCGCCGATATCACTACCGTTAAATTCTGGTATAACACCCGTCGACAAAGGGATGGTCGGATTCGTGGGGGTCGCGGAACAGGTCGCGACGCTCTCCCCAATTTTCATTAGTACCTGTCGAACGAGTTCGTCCAGAGCAGGCGATGGTACACCCGCTTCCATCGTAAAATTTACTTAATGTGCCGAACACACAAAACAAACGTCACACGCACCACCAGTGAAACACTGAACAACTACTCTTAACCGTAACAAAGAGGCGTCGAATCCCACTTCTGATATTGGAGTATATGTAGGGAATTGAGTGAAACAACGAACAGCAAACTGCGAACTGCCATTTTTCCGTCTCCTTTCCGTCACGACCCCGCGAGACATCTGTTTTTCACCGCTTCGCCATTATTCCAAAACGCCTATACTCGCTCGCGCACATCGCTCGCTCATTCTCTCTCTCTCACACACACTCTCTCTCACTCACCCCTACACTCGGCCCAAGTCTGATGACAGACTTATGGTTCCGGTATCGATACCTACAATACTCTTGAGAATCTAGTCAAAGCCCCAAATGCATTGACCCTGACACGTGCCACCCCTTAAAAAGGGATTGACGCTAACATATAATCTGCAATACATACAGGCTTTTGTATACTCTGTCTTCCTCTATGTCTGGACACTGTCATAACATCTGCAGTATGCATAGTTGAGATCATGTATACTTCTCTCTTATCCATCCATTTTAAAACCAATAAACTTTCCGAGCTACGAAAAGACACCTCTCATATTCTGGCTAGATGTCCGATCCGTCCGCATTCAAAACATCGTTTCGAATTCAACTGTTCCTTGCGTACTGTATAGGCAACCCCTCCTGTGTCCTTGTTGTAACCGTCTCTTCGAGAAACTTCTTTCTCTTTCTCCTTCAATATTTCCTGAATTTCTTCTGTGGATTTGTCTCGTTGCGTTTTCAGAATTTCACGTATATCTTTATATTGATTATTAATGCCTCTAACCGTGTAGTAAGCGAGCTCCCGTGGTGTTACTTGCAGTTCGAGAGAGGCACATTTTGTTGCGATGCCACGTGCTCGAGCGATATAGTCACCCACGGTTTCTTTATCTCCCATGCATAGATACTTTAAATCGTTTCCGGCATCAATTTTTTGATCCTCTGCCGCTCCTGCGTAATCCTTTTTTATTTTTTCCCATAACTTACGTGCGTCTATCTCCGTTGCATATTGTAGGGCTTGCTCGTCAGACAGATGTAACCGAATGTACGCGACTGCTTGCTGATTTCTTGACTCCCATTCGGCTTTCACTTTATCTGCGGCTGAGTCCTCTGGTTTTACCTCTTGTAGCACGCTTTGCAATTTCTTTAAGCTAAGAATAGCCTCCATTTTCATAGCCCACACCAGGTAATTTGAACCGGTTAATAGGGGAGCACGTGGTAACGAATTTTCCATCTTCTTTAATAAAACTTTTGAATCGCACAACCACGGTCTGCTGCCACAATTGTTGTAAAATATAACGCACTGTATGAGATATAATAGTATATTTAAAAGAAGAAAATTACATGTGGTTACTTTGTGAGCTCGTTAACGACTGCCTAATATTAAGCGCAGATCGGCATCGCGGTGCTCGCGTACGCAGCGACGCCAATCGTTCGTCAATCGGTAATGTCGGTTACCGACCATCAGATACAAGTAATAAAAGTCACTTATTATTGCACAATCGCACTTCGCGCAACATTCTAAATTTTGTAAAACTCTTCTTATCGCATAAACGGCTTTGAAGAATACTTTACATTCAATACTGACGACACTGAAGTTAACAACAACACGGATAATGACTTATAAGCAATTTTTACACGTTTTACTCAAATTTCGAAATTTCAAGGCTCTTGCCGGAACAGAAGATATTTGTTAAATAAAGATGCGTGGTGAAAAGGTTCTACTGATCTACGAACTGGTTTATTATAAATTGTTTTAACATTTGTACTTGGGTTCTCGCTCTAGGCTCACGTAAATTCTTCTTCTTTGCTACTGCACACATACATACAGTAGGTGGCGTTGTCTCAGTCATGATCTTGTTCTCATGAAACGTGTTGAATGTAAATGTACCTTAATACTCAACAATATTAACTCACAGGGCTGAAATTTTGCACAGTTGTTATTGATCCCAAGACACAACTTTCTCGCACTAAGGCCTAAACTACAATGTTTTTAATTTTTTTGAGGACGGCCTATTATCGGCGTCTTTCTTAGACGGCCGCGCCTTGGCCCGTTGCGATGATAAACACGCAGTTCAACGCATTTTTGCCTCCGCGGCGAGCTTCGGCCCGGTCATGCCGCGTACACAGGTACTCGCCGATGCACCCTGCTTCTCCCCTTTCTATATATATAAACTATATTATTTAATATTTACTAACTATTTAACATAAAAAAGCATAAAACGTAATCGTAAAGGATTATAAACGTAAAACTGTGGCTGCTCTCGACTAACGTTCGACACAGAGTGACGATTCTGCAGTCAAAGTCGAACCTTCCTTATTCCTATCTTCATAATGATGTAAACAAAACGCATGTTTAACCCTTTGCGGGCCGAGAGCTCTTCACCGTTTCGTTCCAGCAGGACCGCGCTGGATTCGCAAGTGTGTACCAACCGGTCCGCACAGATTTCACCAATCGCTTATCCGCTTGGTAGCGTTTACTTTGGAAAACATTTATGACCTTACTAACGAAACGTACTTATGAATTAGTAGATATATAAAATAAAATTGTAAAATTTTTTAAACATTATTTTTTATTGTTTACAGCTTATAATTAACCATTGTATGATACCGTTTAAAGCATTCTCCGACATGCAATCCCGGTTTTCTGTCGCAGGTTTCGCATATATACGAAGTTTCTTTTCTACCACCTGGAACTTTTCGATTAGAACAAACTGCACAATCCTTGTGTTTATGCTGGGGGTGCAGTATAATTATATGTAATTTTCCATCTAGTCGCTGTTCCTTGTCGCTGGATGATGGTAGTCCACGTTTTGCTGTTGTACGAAAGTCTCCCACAAGATCAAGCAACAGTTTTTCTCTAAATTGTTTGTGAGAAATGTTTTTATTGATATTAGAAGGAGATGCTTTGTATAAAATATAAGCATTTATAATAGATGCTTCCAAACCCCAGAAAAACAGTTTCCTCCACCATTTTACGGTTTTGCGAAGGAAGCAGTAGGTTGCAGTATATTGGTCGGCTAAATCGACGCCGCCCATGTTTTTATTATACAGGGTATTTCACCTAACTTGACCACCTTAAATATATCGCTTATTTTGTATGATAGAAAAAAAGTCAAGGGGAGAAAGTATTCTGTTCGAAGGCGCCAATACGGTGATGAATCGAATTTTTTTTTCAAGGTCATTTTTTCGAGATTTCAAGGTCATCGTATTTTTTTAAAATGGGACCACATATTTTCGCTACAACAGTCTTATAGCTTATAAAAAGACGAATCCAACGATGTGCGATATGTTGACCTTCACGTGACCTTTAGCGAAGGAATTATGAAATGTTTGTCAGTAACTTCAGTACGCGTTCGGAGACGGTAAATGAAGGAATTTCAATTTCATTGAAACAGTGTACCGTGTAATTGTTTCTGGTGCTTATAAATAGATATTCATATTCTCCTTTCAACGGTTGAAGTATGTTTACAAGCATTATTATTGTAAGAGGGGAATGACCGAAGCGGGTCATGTACACTACAGCAGAAAAAGTGGAAATGATTTTATGATCGCCGGATCTTACGCCACTTGATTTCTTTCTGTGGGGGGCACCTAAAAAATACAGTTTACAATGATATTCCCACAACAGCAGAAAACATGCGACAAAGGATTCTACATGCATGTAGATCAATTACTGTAGAACAACTGAAAAATGTTCAGCAAGAATTTATTTACCGCCTCCAAAAATGTATCCAGGTTTATGGTGCACATTTTGAACACCTTCTAAAATAAACATTTAATTTAAGACTGTTTCAATGAAATTGAAATTCCTTCATTTACCGTCTCCGAACGCGTACTGAAGTTACTGACAAACATTTCATAATTCCTTCGCTAAAGGTCACGTGAAGGTCAACATATCGCACATCGTTGGATTCGTCTTTTTATAAGCTATAAGACTGTTGTAGCGAAAATATGTGGTCCCATTTAAAAAAAATACGATGACCTTGAAATCTCGAAAAAAATGACCTTGAAAAAAAAATTCGATCCATCACCGTATTGGCGCCTTCGAACAGAATACTTTCTCCCCTTGACATTTTTTTCTATCATACAAAATAAGCGATATATTTAAGGTGGTCAAGTTAGGTGAAATACCCTGTATTGTACTATTATACTGGGCTTCAAAACTGGCTGCGTTCTATTATCCCTGACTCTTCTATTTCTAACAATTTGGGATCTTGACGTACCATACGTTGATAGCATAGACACGACACGTTTATGTTAAATAGTATATATATTTAAAGTATAAAAATAATATTGCACAAGATTTCTCACAGTTTGTAACAGAATGACCGTTCTTATAACATCGATGGTACGTCCGGTCGCTATGCGTGCTCGAGCCAGAAGAAGGAATCACGCGGTTAGAGAAAAGTACATTATACAGGTGTCGCGCTATACCGGAAACAATTGAACATTGCGTGCGCCTTGTACCGCGGAGTTTAAACATAAAATATACATTCTTAACACGCCCCCTCAAGAAGCACGCTTTACATATTCCCTTTTGTCATACATTATATATATCTCTCTCTCTCTCGGTAACATCCAAGCTCATTCATACAACGCTGGTGCATCACACGCGCCAATGGCTTGGTCAATATGTCAGCGGTCATCTGTCCGGTAGGAATATGCTTGTCGATGACCTTTCCTTCCTTGATTACATCTCTTATGAAATGGTGACGTATGTTAATATGTTTGGTACGGGAGTGAAACATGTGATCGCTGGCTAAACATATTGCCCCTCGGTTGTCAACACTTACAAGTAAACCTACCCAACTGATACTCACTGATTTGAATGAAATTTGACGTACTTATTAAACACCGAAAAATATTAAATACGTGTTTTTTTGTTTCGACTAAATACGCTTTTTAGGGGTAGAAAGTACCCCGCAACCTCTGGAGATGGAAACGTTTGTGGCTAATTATTTCTTAAAGGTTACAGTTTCTGTAAAAAGTACTAGATCCAGAGTTGTACAGTTTAAAGTGATACACTTGATGGCGTCCTTGAAATCGACCTTGAGGTCGATTTTCAAGGTCATTTGAAAATCATTTCGTTTATCAAAGGGAGTATTTTGCTTTTCACCCCGAGAATCGATAGAGCGTAAAATTTTACATTCATTGCCAGAGCGTTGGTGGTTTGTAAATGAAATAAGCTTCTGTAATTTAAAATTGTTTATTGATTCAACCAATTAAGGCAAGAGTAGTAATAATTCGATCAATAAAGAAATTAAAAGTTGATTATTCATTCAAATAAGGTAAGATGTGTGATCGAGATCCAGCCAGTGAAGGCGATTTCATAATTTCTTTTCACATATGTCTATGAATATAAATTCCATGGTAATTGGCATTATTCTTTATATTCATGACAATAATGAGGAATAGCTGTATCTTCTATGGCAAAAAAATGCTCCATACACAGAGAGTTAGTACACCACGCACATTTTATTACTGCAATGTTATTGCAGATTTTGCAGACTGTACCGCAATTCTTTAAACAGAAATCGACAGGCGTTTCATATCTATCTGGTTTTTCTTGAATATATCCACTTTTTCACCAGGCATATTTAATCATGTGTTGGAATCGGGGTGACGAAAATTGAGTGTGGATTAATGATTGAATTTTGAGGATGTTATTCCTCAAATGTAGGTTAATATTATAATTGTATAAGAGAATTAAGTCCGAAAATTGTTTCAGGAAGTTTTTCCACGGTCTGAATACGTAGACATCCAATGGTTGAATGAAGCCAGTTGTTCCCGCAGGAATTGTAAGGATTTTTACTTCTTTATTATCCTTGTCTATATTTTCAAATTTCTTTTCTGTTTGTCCTGACCAAGAATCCAAACACAAAATAGACTTCTTGCCAGTATTAGGCAAGAAGACATCTTCAAACCATTTAATAACAATGTCGGATGTCAATTTTCCAGATTTTGTGGCGAAGACGAGGATATTATCTGCTTTGTACATTGACTTTTGTATTATCGGTCCGAAACGGCAGCTTGTTTCTTGTAGAACTATTAATAACGGGGATTTCAGGGTACCATCGGCAGATATTAAAGGTTGTATTGTATAACTGTGAGTCAAGGAGTTCAAAGATTGAGCAAGACACTCCACTTTCAAAGAACCCTTTGAGGCTAATGTACGACCAGCATGTGTTTCCAAATTGAACCCTGACTGATCTGAATTGTAAACGTTTGCTGTCCCTAGCAAGCATTTTTTTTATTTTTTGTACGTGGGGGAATCCTCATGGACACCCGCGGGCCCACCCGATGGGCGGGCCGGCGGGTAGTGCCGGACTCTTACCGGCTAAAACCCCACGGTGACCATCCTCAAGCGCTTGGCGAGGGGCCGGGAACTCTAGTGAGACATCACAGAGTCCCTCGCCGCGCCGTGCCTTTTCAGGCCCTCCCCGGTGAGAGGCACTCCTCCCACCGCATGTCCACTCAACCGCAGGCGCCTGGTCACCAGCGCCCGCGGCCCCGTGACATGGGACTAAGCCGCCGGCCGCGGGGCCACGTTGGCCGCAGGACACACCCGCAGCCAACTGGCCAACCTGCGGCCTTAGGTCAAACCCGCGGCAAATATCCCATGCCCCAGTCCACTCACACACACATTCACACGCGCAACGCATTCATACCGGTGTTTGGTCCGCGGGAGCTTTCGCTCCGACCTCCGGGATGCCATGCGAGGATGCAGCCACCAGCCTTCTCAGGTTGATGACCCCATCTCCGCATCCCATCCCAGCGGCTGCCCCTATCCGCCACCTGGGGACGCGCCACGTAGGGGTTCACCTCCCCTGCCGCCTGGACAACCAAACGGGTGCGTGGGTCCCTAGCAAGCCTATCTCTAGTTTAACTTGACTCACATAATTGGTAGATTGTTCCAATAATTCTGCTTTATTTAAAATATGCGTTTGTGTCACGAATTTATTTATTTTTCTTAAAACAATGCCATGTTGTATTTTAAAGTTGTATATCCATTTTGATGAAGCCGTGAATAATTGAGAAGGCAAATGAACTACCTCTCTTGCTTTCAAGGCCCATCTCTTTAAATCTAAATCGTGAATGGGTAGGCTTCGATCAGATGCACTGTTAAATTGTTCTAGAACGTATTGAGAATAACAATTTATCTGTTCTTGACCCACCCTCAGCAACTTGTGCTTCGCATCGGTACAATTGTGTTACATTTATAACTTTCTTAAATCGGTTTTTAACTGATTCTATATTCCTTCTTTTCTTTTGTCCAGATCGCCAAAATTCAATTACCCTCTTCTTATAATCAATGTCTACAATTTCTCGAAATTTTGTATCGTCTTGCATAACTTCCGAAACATCTTCTGTATTATCTTCAACTAAAACAGCATCAGGAATCACACTAGCATCAGTATAATTCAAAGTATCATAAGTCTCTTTACATATATCAAAATTAATAGCGTCTTTGATCAAATCTGCAAGTTGAGAAGCGAATGATCTTTCTTCATCTGTTATTTTAGATTCTATATTGTACATTGGGTCCTCGAAAGTGAGGCATAATAACTTTAAAATATTTTTTGGGTTTAATGACATTATGAAATTTTACAGATTAACAATGCTTCGATAATATAATAATAGAGATCCAAAGTAAATTCGTAGAAAGTAGAGTTTATGATTGTAAGATTAAATGCAAATAACAAAAAATAGTCGTGAAAATGATGGAACGAAAACACGCATTTAATAAAACATTGTTGTGGAATCAGACTGGAAATAGACGAACGTCTTTTGTCGTTACAATATCGTCACTCGTCTTTTGTCGTTGCGATATCGTCACTCGTAGTTCTGATTCTACAACAATGGGAAGTGGTGCGAAATTATCCGTGGAGGAGCAGAACCGTGCATGGGAAATGTACGGTCGCGGACAGTCAATGAGACAAATTGGAAGAGAACTTGGTAGATCTGATGGAGTGAAAAATGCAAAATGTTTTTTATGGGGGACCAACTGGGAGACATACTCTACAAGATGCAATGCGTTTCGTTCCGATAGGTCCAGCCGTTTCGCCGTAACCGCTGGACATATGTACGTACATACAGTTAGGAACAAAAGTATTGGCACACCTGACTCTTTATTATAGAAACGCATATAAATCAAAGAAAAAACACAGGATTAGATTAACTCTTTTTATCAATTATAACTATTAAGTTTATAGTTTGAGAATATTACAAATATATTTATACTAATTAATTGCAAAACAAAAAAGAATGATAAAATGCACATTAATGGCAGTTTTCAATGAAACAAAAGTATTGGCACATTGAAATAAAATGCTTTTGTCTAGGATCTAGAATGAAATTTTTATAAGGTTGGTACATTGTTCCTTCTCGGGAAACCCCCTGATTTCGAGAGCATTTATTTGGTTTCTCGTTATTCAATTGTTTACAAAATCTAACGTGAAAACATGCAAAATGGAGCGCAAAGGCAAAGAAACGACTGTTGCTGAGCGAAAAATTATTTTACATTTGTTTAATGAGGGGCATTCATACTCGTCTATAGGAAATATAGTTAATAGAAGTCGTTTTACAATTAGAAGTATTATTAAACGGTTTTCTAACACAGAAAATTTTGTAAGTGCTCCGCGATGTGGTCGACCTGAAAAATTGAGTGCACGAGAAAAGAGAAAAATTATTAATATTGTAAAAGGAAAACCATCTAGTTCTGCGTCAGAAATAGCGGCAAATATAAACGAAAGTTTTAATAAAGAAGTACATAAAATAACTATTCGACGAATATTAAACAAGGTAGGATACCGATCGCGAGTTGCTAGACGAAAGCCTACTATAAGTAAAATTAATCAAGAAAAAAGATTAAAGTTTGCAAATGATTACATTAATAAAGAAAACGAGTTTTGGGATACAGTGCTCTTTTCTGATGAGTCTAAATTTAATATTTTTCAAAATGATGGACGCACTTTAGTTTGGAGACAATCTAATACCGAACTAGACCCAAAGAACATTCAGAACACTGTTAAACACGGGGGTGGTGGAGTGATGGTCTGGGGTTGCATGAGCTCAAGTGGAGTCGGTGAGCTTGTTTTTATTGATAATATAATGGGCAAATATGTCTATTTAGATATCTTAAAAAATAATCTAAAAAAAAGCGTGGAAAAATTAAATCTTGGGAGACAATATGTCTTTCAACAGGACAATGACCCCAAGCATACCGCTTATTTGGTACGGCAATGGATACTTTTTAATACCCCACATTCCTTACCAACCCCACTGCAATCTCCAGATTTAAACCCGATCGAACATCTCTGGGCTCATTTAGGAAAATGTATTAAAAAACATAATATAACAAATAGACAACGATTGAAAGAAATATTGATGACAGAATGGAATAAAATAAGTCCCGAAATTATAAAAAAACTAGTGCATTCCATGCCAAATAGATTGAAAGCCGTTATAAACAATAAGGGATTACACACGAAATATTAAATTATATAAAATACATAATAATATACCATCTATTTGTAAGCGTGCCAATACTTTTGTTCCATTAAAAACTGCCATTAATGTGCATTTTATTATTCTTTTTTATTTTGTAATAAATTAGTATAAATAAATTTATAATATTCTCAAACTATAAACCTAATAGTTGTAATTACTAAAAAGAATTAACCTAACTCTGTGTTTTTTCTTTGATTTATATGCATTTCTATAATGAAGAGTCAGGTGTGCCAATACTTTTGTTCCTAACTGTACATACATGCATGCATAAAAAAAAAGATAAAAATAAAAAATAAAAAAAAATATATACAGGGTGTTCGGCCACCCCTGGGAAAAATTTACATGAGCGATTCTAGAGGCAAAAATAAGACGAACATCAAGAATACCAATTAGTTGATGGAGGCTTCGTTAAAAAGTTATTAACAATTAAATTTAAAAATTTCAAATCATTCTGGAAAAATTATTTTCTGTTGCGGGGATCAATTACAATAATTTTTAGTGAATGGACATATCCCCGAAATCTTGCGCATTTTCGAGAAAAAAATTCAGTACGAGCGGAACTTTAAACGTTAATAACTTTTTAACGAAGCCTCCATAAACAAATTGGTATTCTTGATTTTCGTCTTATTTTTGCCTCTACTATCGCTCATTAAAATTTTTACTATAGGTGGCCGAACACCCTGTATAGTAACCTCCCTCTTTTCGAAGTCTGTTAAAAAAAAATGAAAATTTCTAATAAAGCATGAATGTAACGTTCAATTTACAATTAGAGTGACATTTCATGTTTTCTTATCTTTACTTCTATTCCGAAGTTACTTACAAAACTTTTTTTCTCCTTCATATTTTTTCTATAAATTTAAGCCTATTTTCCCATACCGTCTGTGTTGAGCGTCGTTCGGGTGACGGGTTGTAAGGCCGTCGACACTCTGTAGCGAATCCGCAATCGTGCTCGCAGACGCGGTTTGGCTGGTTACTTTAGGAAATTTATCCGAAATTATTCCGTGATTGCGCGACCGTTAACAAACTTATTGATAGCAAACGTTAACTTTCATTTTGGGGAAGAGGAAAAATTAGCGTTTACGAGGTTAAAAACTATTTTGAGCAATGGTCCAGTTTTGAAATTATATAGATTTAAAGCGGAAACGGAATTACATACTGATGCTTCAATGTATGGTTATGGTGCGATTCTTCTACAGCGTGATAGTAATGATAATAAATTTTATCCAGTATACTTTGCAAGCGGAAAAACAACACCAGCATGTTAGAAATTTGTAAAAATGAGAACTTCACTCAGTGCCGGTTCTGGGGTAAGTGCCAAGAGGTCAAGCTTAGTCCTCTTACCAGAAGGCACCCTTGCCTTCCCCACTCCGTGGCCAGATCCTCAAGGAACAGAGTTCCCATTCTTTAAAGCAAGACAACGTCGGGTCGCTTGCCTTTTTCTAACAAACCTACGTTTCCTTTCAATAAGCAATCCTATAACGCCCGATAGCTGCGTGACTTCGAGTCACCAGCCGTTGACAGGCATCTGGATTGCATCCCTGCAACCCTCCCTCTTGGGCCACACGCAGGCTAAGTCCCTATCATAAATCGTTCGGAAACGAAATATCGTCGAGCTAATGCCCTCGACGTCCCTTAAAAATAAGTCGTCGCTAACACGGCCAACCTGGCATGCTTCACGCTCTCGGGAAGCATCCACCCATACAGAATACAATACAACTTTCTCATTGAGATCGTAACTAACGCAATCTTGTCACTCAGACGCTACGTTGCTGTTACTCTCAATCCACTGTTGCCATATTTTCAAATATACATTCACCAGCCTCCAACGACAGCGCGCTTTACGGGGCAACCATTTACAACCAGTCAATGCTTCTCCAACGACAGCGCGCTTTACGGGAACACATTGACAATTAACCAGTATACCTCCTGCGACGGCGCGCCTTACGGGGTGCTAACTGACAATCACACATCACTTCTCCAACGACAGCGCGCTTTACGGAGTCTGTGATAACACAGCTTCTTTTAATATACAACTCAACAGCCGCATGTCAACACACGTACGAGAGGTCGTGTTACAATTGAATAACCATGTTTACCAGTTACGATGTTTTAATATTAACAAACACAATATTCGATACAAAGTTACAATGAAATAAATTTTCGTAACGTAAACTAAACAACTAAGCAAATAATACAGCTAAACTAGACTATCGGATACAAACGAAAATGAATTAATTTTTTTTCATAATACAACTAAAAGATATTCTATTAACACGCTAACATGGCATATCCGTATCCTCCTTATCGGTTTCGAAGTCGGCGTCCCAATCGCCCTTCCAAAGTTTCAATCGTTCCTTTGATACTGTCTGGGGCCGGCCTGACTTCCCTAGAATTTCGTACCGGTCGTTAGGCAACTTTTTTATTACAGAAAAGGGGCCGCTACATTTAACATTTAATTTTGCCCTTCTGTCGTTGTCATCCGGTTTGAGCAAAACAGTATCACCTTCCTCAAACGTAACGGTGTCCCTACGTGTTTTATTAAATCTCTTTTCTTGAGCTACAGCATTTTTTTCTAATCGTTTACCTGCGACGGCCCTGTCGCGGCCCACGTCAATAGGGTCATCGGTAGGTAGCTGACCTTCCGCACGCATAATATTACCCGGACCTAATTCTAGACCGAATAATAGCCTGCTAGGCGAAAATCCCGTTGACTTCTGCACAGTCGTGTTTAACGTTAACATTACCTTTGCCAGTTTGTTCGGCCATTCCATTTCTTTTTTCGTTTCGATTGAAAGCGAGCTAGTTACCGTCGCCACATATCGCTCAACTTGTCCATTAGCACGCGGTGTACCCGAAGCAATGAAATGCACTTCACAGCCGTGCTTCTCTATAAATTGTTTGAGCGGCTTATACGTGAAGTTAGTTCCGCGATCAAAAACAATCATCCGCGGTACTCCAAATAATGTAAGGCGTTCCCGGAACACCGCTAACGTTTCGGGACCACTCAAGGTCATTAACGGAATTAATTGCAGATACTTCGTGAAAGCATCTACAATTAGTAAAATGTGCTGGTACCCTTCTTTTGTAACGGGGAACGGGCCAAGGCAATCGCAATGTACTGTATCAAACGGAATGCATTTCTTAGGTATTGAATGCAAAAACCCTTGCTTCGGGTCCGTGTGCCGTTTGGAAAGCAAGCAGGTCAGACAATGGCTAATATATTTTTGTACGAACGGCCGCATTCTCGGGAACCAATATTTTTGTGCCACTCGATCATATGTTTTATCGATACCTATGTGGCAATTTTCGTCGTGGTACAAGCGAAGTAGGCCCAATCTAGTCCCCTTCGGAACAAAACTACGGTACACCGTACGCCCTGTATCCCGAAGCAATTTACGACATAAAATCCCCTGTCTGAGCTCGTAGTCCGACGCTAAACTATGCCCCGAATTTAGTTTTTCGATTATCTCACGAGTTTCTACATCGTTTCTTTGTGCCGCCTCTAACCACGAGCCTTCGCAGACAAGGTTGACTCGATAATCTTTACGAGGATTTCTGCTCAGGTAATCGACATGCTCTATGTGTTTCCCCTTTCGGAACTCTAGTTCAAACGAATAATCTTGGAGAAAAATCCACCACCGAGCAACTCGCGGCACGAGATCTTTTTTCGTTCCCGTAGCTTTCACAGCATTGCAGTCCGTTATGATTTTGAAGTTGATGCCCAGGAGGTAGGCACGAAAGTGTTTTAATGCGTTTACTATGGCTAATGTCTCCAGCTCGTACGAGTGGTACCGCGATTCTTCCGTGGTCGTACGTCTACTAAAGTATGCTACCACTCTCCACTCATTGTCTAATCTTTGGAACAGAATTGCACCATAATCAAGGGCACTAGCATCGGTGTGCAATTCTGTTTCCCTTGTTGGGTCGAAAATTACCAATAAAGGTTTTGAGCAGAGTTTCTCTAAGATGTACCTTCGTGCCTCCTCCTGTTCGTTACCCCAACACCACGGTACGTCCTGTTTCGTAAGTTTTGTAACGCAAGCCGTTCGTGTCGCGAATTCAGGTATAAACTTCCGAAAATAACTGGCTAGGCCCATAAACTGCCGTACCTGCCTGACGTTTTCCGGGACCGGTGCTTCTAACAGTGAATTTATTTTTGCCGCGCCCGGTCTAATTCCCTCGGCCGAAACTTCTCTTCCCAAATATTCAATAGTCGTTTGAAAGAATTTGCATTTCTTTAAATTCAACGAAAATCCGGCTACATCTAGAGCATGCAAAACCCGTTCCAGCCGCTCAAGACCCTCTTGTACGGTCTCCGACGGAATCAAAATGTCGTCTAGATATACCAAAGCGAATTTGTAACGTAAATTACCTAGAGCTTTGTTTACCGCCCGCTGGAAAACGGCTGGGGCATTGGTTAGGCCGAACGGCATACGTAAGAATTCATAATGCCCGTCAGGCGTAACAAATGCCGTCTTTGTTATTGAATTTTCCGCAATCGGGACCTGATAAAATCCCGAGGCCATGTCCAAGGTCGTAAAATATTTGCCCGTACCTAACCGATCTAATTGGTCTTCTATTAGTGGCAGGGGAAAGCGATCTTTAACAGTTATTTTGTTTAGCGCGCGGAAGTCAACGCACATACGGTCTCCTCGCCGTTTTTCTTTTTTACAAGGATTATCGGGCTAGTATAAGGTGACGTGCTCTCGCGTATTATCTCATTCGCTAATAGTTCATCTATTATACCGCGAACCTTTTCTCGTTCGACGAATGACAAACGGTACGGGTGGTAACTCACCACGCGGTCCTCTTTCGTCACGATGGACATCTCGCCTGTACTTACTCGTCGCACGTTGCTACCAGAAGCCAGCATATGTTGGTACCGCCCTAGTACCGCTGCCACGGCTTCCTTCGTTCTAGGATCCTCCTGGTCCACAGCGTAGCAGAGAGGATCAGCGGCGGGAGCCTCTTCGGTGTGTACCTGTCCGCGCTCCACCGTTGTCGTCCCATCCGAGTCGGTGACCATGCGCAGGCCTTTCCCCACGACGAAATTCTTCCCTACGATTACGTCGTACGGGATTGTCCTGTCCGGCACGACGTACAAGTTGGCTTTGGCCGACACGTCCTTGATTTGGACCATCGCGGTGGTACCTCCGATCGTGACCGTAGCCGAATCCCCGAGACCCCGCAAGGTGGTGATGCGCGGGACGATTCGGCAGTTTGCCCGCTTGGCTACCGACTCTTGCACTATGGAGCAAGCTGCGCCATTGTCTAGCAGACAGTTTTCTACGAGCAGGCCCTCTAATAGTATCGCGGATGGTTTATGAATCACTGAATAACATACGTTCACTTGGTTCTTGTCTTTCGTGTCAAACTTCTTCGGCACCTGTCCATCTCGATTCGCCCGTCGCTTCGCCCAGCAGTTAACCTCCTCGTGTCCCCTTTTCGAACAATAGGTGCAGGTAGGCGCACCCCTTTTTGTGGTCGTCGACCCCTGTCTCGGCGGACTACGTCTCAGCGGACTCCGACTCCTGTCCTTCCGTTGCCTCGTACATCGCCTCGCCGTATGCCCGTACTCGTTACACGAGTAGCACCGTTTCGATGTTTGCGACGAGTGCTTTTCTATTTGCCGTTTTCCATCTTCGGTAGCGACGACCTTTCTATAATCGGCGATTCCCACTAGAAGCTCCGACGTAGCATTGAATCGAGCATTTAGCATCGCTTGTCGCACATTCACGTCACTTATCGTGCTTATTATTAGTTCCGTCAGTTCCTTTTCGGTGAACGACACACCCGTTTGTTTTAGATACAAGAGTTTCGTACGCGCATAATCGGCGTAACCAACCGCGGTGTCACTTGTGTACTGCAATGCACGCAGCATTCGGTCGTGCAGCTTCCGCTCGGCAACAAACACAGCACACAGGTCCTCTCTAAATTTCTCCCATGTACATGGTCGAGCGTCCCACCGTTTATACCACGTTTTCGCGCGTCCCGTCAATGCGTGCGTTGCCAAGCTCAACCGCTGCTTCGGCACTTCCTTGGTGATTTCCTCAACCCGATCGCACCACCCTTTCGCATCGTCTCCAAGGTCCTCGCCACTGAATTCCGGCACGGCCGAAACGGTCAATGGTGTTGCAGCCGACGCCGATGTCGAAGCCATGCTATCCCCAAGACTTTGGAGCACGCGGCGAACCAAGTCCTCTATGCTCGGCTGGGACGGGTTGGAGTTTTCCATAGTCTCTCCTTTCACAAACACACACACACAAAGTACAAGAAGACAAAAAGAAAATGCTAAAACGTACGCGTATAATCCTACGTAATGAAGATGATTTACTCTTCAACACAGCACAACACAAGCGAGCACAGATTCACTATTCCACTTCTGATGTTAGAAATTTGTAAAAATGAGAACTTCACTCAGTGCCGGTTCTGGGGTAAGTGCCAAGAGGTCAAGCTTAGTCCTCTTACCAGAAGGCACCCTTGCCTTCCCCACTCCGTGGCCAGATCCTCAAGGAACAGAGTTCCCATTCTTTAAAGCAAGACAACGTCGGGTCGCTTGCCTTTTTCTAACATACCTACGTTTCCTTTCAATAAGCAATCCTATGACGCCCGATAGCTGCGTGACTTCGAGTCACCAGCCGTTGACAGGCATCTGGATTGCATCCCTGCAACCCTCCCTCTTGGGCCACACGCAGGCTAAGTCCCTATCATAAATCGTTCGGAAACGAAATATCGTCGAGCTAATGCCCTCGACGTCCCTTAAAAATAAGTCGTCGCTAACAAGCAGAATCGAAATATATTAGTTATGAGCTGGAGGTTTTGGCAATAGTTAAAGCCCTACGAAAATTTAGAATATATTTGTTAGGTATACCATTTAAAATAGTTACAGATTGTTAGGCGTTTACATTAACGATGCGTAAGAGAGATTTGTGCGTTCGAATTGCGAGATGGGCTCTTTTATTAGAGGAGTTTAATTATAAAATAGAGCACCGTTCGGGAAATAGTTTAAGACATGTAGACGCGTTAAGCCGGAATCCGCTTCCAAAGTGTATGTTAGTAGACGAATGTGAGGATAGTATGATAGTGAGGTTACGTAAAGCGCAGTGTGAGGATGAGAGTTTGAAACCGATTGTTGAAGCAGTGAATGAAAAACAGTTAAGTGGGTTTGTAGTGCGGAATGGCTTTTTATTTAAAGAAATTGAGAGTGACGTAAAATTAATAGTGCCGCGTATTATGCAATCGCAAATCATTCGACGTGTACACGAGAACGGTCATATCGGGAGTGCGAAAACGGAGACACTAGTTAGGAAAGACTATTGGTTCGCAGATTTAAAATCAAAAGTAGAGAAAGTGGTGCGTAATTGTGTTCCGTGTATTCTTGCTGAAAGGAAACATGGGAGACAGGAAGGATTTTTACATTCTATTGACAAGGGAAATCTGCCATTAGACACATATCATATTGACCATCTTGGACCACTTCCATCTACGCGAAAGACTTATAAGCATATTTTTGTAGTTGTGGATGCATTTTCGAAGTTTGTGTGGCTGTATGCCACGAAGACTACAGCTACCTCCGAAGTGATAGAACGTTTGAAAAAACAATCGTCAATTTTTGGAAATCCCAGGAGAATTATCACTGATCAGGGTACAGCTTTCACTTCTCATGATTTTCGGGAATATTGTAGATTGGAAGCGATAGAACAAATTTTAATAACTGCGGGAATGCCAAGGGCTAATGGTCAAGTGGAGCGCGTAAACAGAACGCTAATACCAGTAGTGACAAAGTTGTCGGCACCGAAACCGGAAGAGTGGTATCGCTATTTGGATATTGCGCAGAAATTTTTAAATGCAACACCTCATAGGAGCATCGGTACAACGCCGTTTAAGTTACTGTTTGGGACATACCCACAAATGAAGGATAATCCGGATATTCCTGAGTTAATAGAGAAGGAATGGATTGATTTGTTTCAAAGTAACAGGGAAGAGCTGCGGAATCAAGCTAAGGAAAATATTTTGAAGATTCAGCGTGAAAATCGTCGCGGATACGATAAACATAGAAAGAAAGCTCGGCAATACAAAGAGGGAGAGTTCAAATTCTTAGAGAGGGACAAATTCTTAGGTCCGTATCGAGTTGAAAGAATCCTAAGGGATGATCGTTTCATTGTGTGTAAGGTGGGCGAGCACGAAGGTCCGCAGCAGACATCGACTTTGGCGGAACACATGAAACCGTGGGTTAATGAAGCTAGTGATATCTCATCAGGTGAAGAATGAACAATGGATATCTGAGGGCAAATATCATGCAAGATGGCCGAGTGTGGGGATGTGAATGTGAGTGTGTTGTTGTGAAAGTGCGTGAAACGTCAATTGATTGCTATGACCGGAGTCGAAGTCAGCTGTTCATACCGAGTAAATAAATTAATCGATTGCCAGGTTGCGAAGACGAATGCAGAATGCGTGTAGGTTTTGTCTCAGGACGTACGTGTGTGTGTGTATATGAGAGATTAGGTGAATGTGATCGGTGGAGCAGAGAAATAGAAGCTAGTGGAAAGGGCGGACCGGCTTGATTCTACAATTTGATGAACATTGTTAGTTTGGATTTTATTACTGCTCGTTTTCTAATATACCGTGATTCGCGATTGTTGCTCTCAGATGACCCTGCTTCAGTACTGTAATTTGCCTTTTCAGAAGCCATCGTAATGTATGTTTATTTAACGACAAGGGGTTATAAAGTGTTGGAGAACCACGATATCCGAATGAATGAAGTACGCGGAGTGACGTTGATATTATCGATCTGTGATAATGCGTTTTTTGTTTCCTCATTAACTGTTTTTGTTCATTCTGTTCAGTTCGTTCTGTTTGTATTGTTACGTCCCGACGAACGGGTCATTAGCCGTGACTATTTGACACTTCCTTAGAGTCAGCATTGTCATCGAATTCCTCTCTCTTTCACAAGAGGCCTGCACGTGGAGGTACGTAAAGCGGGTCAATATGGTCATCAAATTCTTATCTCTTTCCCAATAACCTTGCACATGGAAGTTCAGCAAGCAAATTCAGCACTGCAGCATGGGTTAAAAACCCATGAATTAGGCTAGTGCGGGGCAGTCAGTTGTTAAGTCGCGAGGTGCGTGCTGTCTGTCCCGGATAGTTTATAAAGCAGAGTTCGTTGGTAAATCCGCGAAGGACTTGAACTACCCGTTAACCAAATCCTTTTCGAAATTTATTATCATTGTTATCGTTAAAATTATATTTCTACCTATGTGTATAAGTGTCTAGTGGAACTCCTCTGTATTCAAACTACGACCATTGTGTAAAGCGAAAAGAGAAAGAGAAAGAGAAAGAGAGAGAGAATACAGCGCTGGTTTGGTGAGCAGGAAATTTATAATCCATTTCTACCAAATTTCGGATCTTGTATTTCACGAAATACATATATGTCAATGTCCATCACATTTCGTTTCTTTCTTTAATATATACATTTTCCCAGATTTATACTCAACGAGCGAAGAGTTTGTATAAGCTCAGATCAACTCCGATCCCATATACTTTTCCTTTGAGAACTCGAAGGTGTTTAAGCGTTACGCCGAGGTACGAGCAATCGCTCACGACCACCTACCATCATCCTCCCCTACCCCGCACGTAACAGTATCTTCGTGTCTAATAAAATTTATATATTGCTGCTTACGCTAAAGTCCACTGTTATTATACTGTTAATAAACCAAGTTCAACATAAAGGATAGCGACTAACAAGTATTTCGACTTACGATTTCGTAGTTACACCGATGATACGCCTTGTCCAGCGATGATTCGCTGAAGGAAGCTCCGCTGTAGATGTAGAGTCCGATGACCAATTGCAGCCTCCTTGATGGCCTGGATGTAGCGCTTCCGACGCTATCGAATCCGCTCGTGCCTTGGATGTAGCGCTCACGACGCTATCGAATCCGCTTGTGATTTGGATGTAGCGCTCACGACGCTATCGAATCCGCTTGTGATTTGGATGTAACGTTCACGACGCTATCGAATCCACTCGTGATGTGTTTTCAACAGGGATGCTGCACTCTCGGTGCCGTCGAATCCCTTGCCGATTGCAGATGTTGCACCTTTTGATAGTAACGATTCTGCTTTTCTGTCACAGTTACTCCACTTGCACCGTTTCACCACCAATAGTAGTCCGTGATTTTTTATACGTCACGAGTCCTCGCCGACGTATGCTTGTTGAGATTTCCTTGCAGGACGCCGTATTTCACGTGCAGGCGAATCCTTAGCAGTTGATTGATTGCACTGAACTCTTGGTATTGTGGGATCGGGAAGATAATGACTCCGCTCTGTTCCGTTCCGCACAATTGTATTGTTGCTGTCGTACAACGACGTGACTCGTGGTGCGGGTTACGCTCGACTCTCTGGTACGATCATCGCCACCGTACCAAGAGGCCTTCAAAAACAAAAGACGGTCAGAGACGACGACAACGGCTTTTCGGCTCACGCGGCTCTGGTCGTCTCGTGTGCAACCATCGTCTCGTGTGCAACCATACATTGTAGCGGCTTCGAACGGCTAAGGCGTATGTGGTGCCTTGGCCGCCACACTACCCCCCTGCCAGTAATTGGCACAATTACGAAAAATTGACCGACTACATTACCACTACCATTTACTCTATTATATAAAATACGTTATCCTAACTAAGATTTACATTACAGTATTTGAACAGAGTTGAAAAAAAAAGGAATTTACATGGAGTTTAATATATAATATGTAATACCTAAAAATACATGAAAGTACATAAAAGTGATGGATAAAAATAAATGGTATATGATACTTATTATAATAATGCGCAAGCCTTAAGTACTACCGCGTAATTTGAAATCGCTCGGGAAAACGTACGCGTCTACCTGAACGCGTAACACGTTGCTGTATAACCGGCGCATTGTCAGGTACGTTTGTTTGTGTGACCGGCTGATTTTCTATGCTCACGGGATCCGGTCTGTTTTCTGCTAGCATATAAGCAGGCTTTAGCCTTTCAATTGATATATATATTTCCTTACCTCTAATGTTTATTGTAAATGTTTTTTCGCCTCGGCGCACTACGGCGTATGGACCTTCATAAGCGGGTTGTAAAATAGTTTTGGCTGAATCTGTTCGGATGAAAACATGTGTTGAACTGCTAAGATCTTTGAAAACGAATGTACGATTAACGGAATGGCGTGATGCATTAGAGGGACTCAATTTAGAAAAATGGTTGCGTA